ACTGTAGAAAATAATTATTTCAAAAATATTTTAATAATTATCTTTTTTCAAGCAAATTTAGCCTAATTATGTATCAGGAATGATCAAATGAGGGGTCAATAGCTACAGATGCATAATTTCACTCTGATAGATTGCTGTTTGAAAATAGGTTATAACAATTAGATGATTAATCTTCTTCTATTAAATAATGCTATGAGACTTCAGATCACATTTATCAGTATATTCTCTTTAGTGTGAACATAACAGGAAGACAGACAAAACAGAATAGAGATTTATATTCTTTGATAAATAATCTAAGTATTCTTTTAATCAGCTACAGTTGGAAAAATAGCCAGAAAATGAAATTCTGTTTGGAGACATTTTATGTTCTGTGTTCAGAATAGTGTGGTAAATGCACAATGTGTTAAAAAATTAAAAGATGGGACTTTGATGAGTGAAAGCCTGAATGCTCTGCTGGCTGGGTTTTTTGGGGGGAGGGGGGTGCTGTTTATCTGCAAAGTCTGCAACCCTTGTCAGTATACTGGGGAGTGCCTGTGTAAACATTCTTGCTTTGCCTGCTCCACGTAGTCAGTTCTTGTATCGTATTTCTTCTGACCTCGCTATCTGAAACCAATTACAGGAGATCCATTTGGACTGTTTCTATTTTCATAAGAAGCCTAGGCAGGAGTGTTTTTCTCAGAGATGAATATCAACATCAAATATGCTTCTGAGTGCTTTGTTATTTATGTTTCAGAGAGATTTTGTAGCCTTCAGCTCTCAGGAATGTGTCACGCTGTGCTGTTTATACATTGAAGATATTAATGGGCATACATGTCATTTTTCATTTTAATGTCTCAAATGCAACAGGCTGATAGGTTAAGCATTCCTATTTTTATGGGTAGGTATTATGAATGATGTCTATTTTCCGCCAAATATACATATATATTTACTTACGGGAAAAAGAGTCAGTTATAAACCATAGAATACTCAACATTTAGGTTTTCTGACTATCTCTAAACTGTGTTCAAATAATTTTATTGCTATTAAGAATTTTCAGTTTCAAAAGAAAGAAAGAAAGAAAAAAAGAAAGAAAGAAAGAAAGAAGAAAAAGCATGACAGGTTTTTCTAACACTTCACAAAGCTGGTTCCTCTTAAATTAATTTTCACAGTGACCTGTTCCATAGAATTACATTTTGTAAGGTTCGTCACAACATTAGGTTCATATCAAGTGAGACAAGTGACATGCGTGAACTTTGCTCCACTTACAAATGTTTAGCTTACTTAAAATTGTGCAATAATAGAGTTGATGTTTTCATTAAATATTTTAAAGAACAAAATGAAGTCAATTCTAGAAGAAGCGCTTCTTACACCTTCGTTGCTCCCAAAAGTTTAACTTGCATCTATTTATAAATATCTTTATTCTTTTCTCAAAATTTCATCTTATTCCATTTTCAGAGTATCCTAATTCTCTGTAGCCTTACTGATATTAGATAATTGTATTAAATAACACACATCCTTAATTCAAAACCAATGTGCTTTTGGGACTCAAACTCAGTCTGGTTGCCTTCCTGCTCCTCTTACTTATTCAAAAAGGGTTCAGTCTTTATTTAAAAAAATATTGTAAGCAAGCCTTGGGTTTCTGTTACAAAATAATACTAGGGAAGAGATGAGCATATGAATACTATATGGATCTTAAACTTCATGAGGATAACTGGCATTTATCTTTTCTATTCATCAAAATATAATGAGCATCTGATTTTTCAAATTAATAATGTGTGTAATTCAACACAGTACCTTGTATTAATGAAAGTGTTTTACTTCATAACCTTTCATTTTTTGACTGGTGACTATAATAAATTACAAAGGTCAGGCAAATGTCTCTGTGCAATTTTTTGTTGAAATTTAGTCCTAAAAAACTATCCAGAATTTGGGGAATAAAAATGTCATATAGTGCATGTAGCTTGGATGCAAAATGTCAGGGATTTCTACTTTGGGGTTTAAATCACGTATGGATGCTTGAGATTGTTTTTTGTTATTCCACTTCTTACATTTTTACAGCAATTGTTGCCACTCCCAAAAACATGTGGAGACAGACAAATGGCTCTTATTTCTCATAAGCACTTGTATTGAAAGATGATCCTCAAGCATTTTAAAGATACTCTAAGAACATATGAAATATAAAGTACTGAAGAAGCATTCTTTACCCAGCTCTCCTGTTAAATATTATTATTACTCCCATACAATGAATGAAGGTGTGTGCCTCTGTCTAGTCGTACTTTCATGAGCAGAGGTTCTAGTACATCCAGGTATCTGGTATTTTTCTATAGCACTGGGGTTCACATATGACGATGATTAACCGTCAGTGTTGAGAAGAAGAGGTACATTCAGAAATGCCGACAAAGTAAGCCCTAAGCTTGGGAACCAGATGAGTGACTGGACTCTCCTACTCCCTTGAAGCATTAGTCCAGTGACTGGGGAATTGATTCTTCAGTGACTTGACAGCAAAACAAGAAACCTAGAGATGACATACGCTAAGAGATTGTCTAGCTCTAAAATTTTGATATTGGGCTAGTGATCACTGACCTGGTGATCAGGATATTATAAAAGGTTAGAGATCTATCAGGTTTCAGTGAAGTATGCAAGAAATGCAACATTATCCATAAATAAGTATACCTTCCTTCTGTGACACTTGTTATGTTATCTTGAAAACTCAAGTATAAAAGGATTATAATGTGTTTCTTCCAAGTTCTGGAAAAAAAATGGAGTTGTCATCTTTACAAGTGGACGTAATTCGTTATAGCATTAGATATTCTCTTTTCCTAGAATTTTGTCATTGTTAATTAGAGATTGATTTCTTTGGCAGAATAGAGATGGTATGGGACAATGAAATGCATTCTGTCCTGGAAGCCAGATGACCTTGAACCAAGCATTCATAAATAGTTTCATGGCCCTAAACAAAGCAAATGGCAACCCTAGACCTTATTGTTTGCCCATTTATTAAAATGAGGGAAACATGATTTCTATGGTTGCTGTTAGTGTGGATCATTATTGTTCCAGGATTCTAAACAGGTGCGATTAGAATATTCTAAAAACAGAAACATTTTACACAAACGTATATGTTGTTGTTTTTTATAATATGGGATATATATATACAAGTTATATACAAATATATATTTATGTTATATCTATTATATATATGGGAGAAAGAACTCAAAGGGTAAATTATGTGGAAAGTATTTGATTTCTTTTATATAAGTATAGTTCAAGCCACATTATATAGTAGTGGTTGAAAGTTGCCACTCATAGCTTTTTTTAGGTCAGAGTTTAAAGGGAAAATGTATATTATAAAATATTGAATGCAATATTTCAGTGAGTTTTATGACAATAGGATAATTATGAAATGAATGTTCAGTTTATCCTTGTATTGAACTGTGCACTAAGTTGCCTGAACTCACTGACATGTGCCATCCTTAGTAATACTTAGTTTAGCTTGTAAGTACTTGAAAAGTTTTTTTCTGTTTTTTTTCTTTTTTGTTTTTTTTTTTTAAGCACACAGACACCCAAAAGGAAAAAAAAAAATCATCACTATGTGCAAGTGTGCTTCCAAATGCAAAAGCAGCGTTTACAAAAGTGATAGATCCTGCGATGGGAAGACAAATCAGCGTTGTTAGGAGAAGGTGCTAGCACATCCAGCTTGTTTACTCTGGCCTCTGAGTCTGCCTGCCTTCTCAGAACACTTGCTTGGAGCCAGACTGTAGCAGCCCTTTCTCTGTCTTTTCATAATTGATCAGGGGATGACTGCTTTCCCTGAGGGTTAAGACGTGGCAACTTTTTCTGTTTGCTCAGCATCTCAATGCAGTAGTTCAAACATTGTTCACACCAGCTGGCGTGTAAAGCCATATGCACATCTTGTCAAAGCAACTGTTGTCATGGATACTAGAAACTCACTCAAAAACCAGATCATTGATCCCAATCAAAATTGTACTTTTTATCAGCTGAGAATCTTAATTATTATAGAAGAATATTGATCTGTGTTTTCCCACAATGGGGAAAAATATCCTAGATCAAAAACAGTGAATAACAATGTCAGACAATGACTTAGTTTTATATATTGAAAAATTTTATCACTCCTGTTCATGGAACTCGGGATAAAATGAAATTTTAAATAGGAGGTCTGAAGAACTTTTTTTTAAAAAAAAATACTGGTTTAATAGTGCTAATCCTTTAAGTAATGTAAAATGAATTTTGGTTTCTGATACTAGTTTATGTAAATTCATATAGTCCATTCACCAACCTGTCCCTTCTCTAAGGAAAGGCATGTTTACATTACTTTCTATTTTTTTTTCTGAGTAGATAAAAGAACACAAAAATAAATGAAAACATCTTCTGTTTTGATTGGTATTCTGTCACACACAGAAACAAACCTGATTGGTTGAGTGGTAATTTCTTTGTTCTCTGATTTTACTAAGAATGCAAATGAAACCCACTCAATTTTATTTGGCATTAAAACTGCACTATATTTTGTCAAAGGAGAGGGTTTTTTCCCCTTGAATTGTAAGTACAAAAAAAAGTGTTTTTAATCTTAGTGAAAATCCTTATTAATTCACTTTCAAGATAATCTGATGTTGATTTGTCAAATTTAATTACAGCTTCCGGTAACACTTGAAGTCTGCTGCTTTGGCTTCAAAATTGTAATATGAAAATGCAAATTGAATGATAATTTGAAAGGGAGTGGGCATTTTAGGAACACTCAGAGATAAGTTCTGTGGGAATGAGGTTATTGATGCAGTTTGTGATTTTCTCTTCTTGAAGCACTTTCAACAAATTAGATTTATGTCCTGCAGGGTTACATGCATCTGCATGAGTTTGAAGCAATGTGTATAGGTATGTTTTGTGAAGTTCTTCTTTACAAAAAAGAATAATGGTGTAAAGAAGGTTGATAGTCCTCACTTACATTTAGTAAGGACAAGCCATTCTGCGTTTTTAAAAATATTTAGCTGTTTTCTCCTTTTCCCTTTCAGGCTCTCCAGGCGGCAAGACAACTTCTGTTACAGCAGCAAACAAGTGGGCTGAAATCTCCTAAGAGCAGTGACAAACAGAGGCCATTGCAGGTTAGTAACGCTTGCCTGTCCTTGAGACATAGCCTTAGTGATGTTCACAACAATGACAGATGTGCAAAGCACATTCTATTTATTAAACAAATTACAACATTTGTGTGTGTGTGTGTGTATACACATATATACACACATATATACAGTTACATATATATATAGTTACTTCCAAAAGAAGATTCATGGAGTCTTTGTAAAGGGGGATTTACAAATACTGTTAACATGGATTTCAAAAAGTTTACAAGTTCCTTCTTTGCCAAAAAAAAAGTAGGAATTTGGTACATATGAGCATAAAATATTTTGTGAAAATTGCTTTGTGGATTTTAACAGAGTTTCACGCACTAATTAGTTAAAATATGACAATTAAAGCGAAATCATAGTAAAATGATGTGTATGGAAACAAAGCAGTCTTAGGCAGTTGTCTGAAGTAGTATCCAAGTGAGAAGCGACAAATGGATAAATCCGAGCTGGTTTCAAAAAAAAATCTGTGAGGTTGCCAAGGACCTGTTACTGTTGTTACATTTATAGGAACAAACACATTCTGGAGTTTGTTGTCTTTCCTTACTATTTGACCTGTGAAACTGATGTATGTATTTGTGCTTAAAAAAAAAAAAGTTTGTGTTACAATAACCATTGTGTTTATTTATGGTCTTTTAAACCAAGATGTATGGAATATTTCCTTGAGGGAAAGTACTTTAAAGTATATTCTCCGGTTGTCTAGTAAGTGCACTGTAGACTTGGAGCGCCATCTCTCACGATGTTACAGACATCTCTCACAGTGTTGTAGACATCTCTCAGAATGATTTTCAGAGATTTTGAAAAAAAAGTGATGTTTTCTCCTGAAACGTTTTTTATATACATTTGTGTCTAATACGGAAAGCATTATTGTTGGTAAAGCAGTCATTTTGTGTACATTGATTTAAGCAAGATGCTCTCTTTTTCGTGGCTTTGGCTACTTTCAAATTCACATGTAGAAGTGATCATCTAGTTCTTATGTGATGGTCTTCCATAGCTTAGATTCTATTAAGAAAATCATAGGCTACTGATCCCCAGAAGCCAGAAATCTGTTGTTACCAAGAAAATAAATTCATAGGCCCTAAACAAAGTTTAGATAAAAACACATTTTTTCTTTGGAACAGGATCCTTTGTTGCAGGAGAGGAAAGATAAGAGTACAAGGAATCCAAAGTGTCTAAAGGCCACATCTCTGTGATGACTGTAAAAGAAAAATGTTTCATGGAAACTTCCAGTATTTAAGATCCTTTTCAACTTTTTCTCGTTAAGAGAATTCCATAGAATGTTGTTTTAATTCATGAGGAATCCTGGGGAGGACATTTCCTTATCATCTATCATATTTCTGTCACATTGATAGCAACGAGTTTAACACTGACTCCATGAGACTCTTGGTGACAGCCAATGGAGCCCAGACCTCCAGGATGGCTACAGAGTGGAAATTTCACTTTCTTTTTCTTTTTTTTTTTTTTTTGTCGAAACATAAATTTGATGTTGACAACATAAGTCAAAGATTAGAAAGAAGTTATTATTTCAAAATCAGACAAGACTATCACCTAATTTATATTTTATATTTTTATACCACAGAGAGGATTTGGAGATGCCTCTTCCTCTTTAAAGTTCAGTCAGTAGAGGCGTCTTCCTTGCAGGGTATCAGGGTGTTTGTGGAACCAACAGCTTGACTCTAGTGTTTTTCTTTCTTCTGTCCTTGTTAAACTACACGTCAGTGTTTGCTACTCTGATTAACTAAAATACATATGAATTTTTATTTAAATTATCCACTTGTACGTTGTAATATTTGTGGCTCTGAAATAAGAATTTGTGCATGTGCCAACTGTTACATAAATCAGTTCTGAAAAGAAATTCTAAATGTTCTTGGTTCAGCATGAAAGATGGGTTAAAAAAATCATTGTAACTAGCCCCTAGCAACTGCAGCTGCTAACACCCCAGATCCTCTCTTTGTGTCCCCTGTATTGTGTGTGTCGTGAGCATGAGAATCAGCTCCGTTGTCTAGATGATGAGACTACAGTGCTTTAGGATCCTGTGTAACTGTAATGGGATCATTACGTAAAATGTCACAGGAATGAGAACTCATTTTTATGAATGAGAAATTAGAACTAATGAAGACTTACTCCCCCCCCCAAAAAAATGCACTGTAACTAATACAGTGCAAAACTGCAATTTTAATATCTCATGGTACTTGATAAGCTTAGCAGTTGTGGGCATGAGGAGATGGTATTGCATGCCTGATCAGAACGTGGCAGTGTTCACCCTCGCTTATACATCTCTTTTCAAACAGAGATATCAGTCAATGCTCATCTTGGCCTCTGCAAACATTATTAACAGCACTTGTAAATGTTTTTAAAAGTGGAACGTATTTGCTAGAATTTTTAATCGTGGGATATGAAATTAATATTTTAAAGTGTCTGTATATGACTTTTCTCCTAGTTTTGCTTTTCTTCTAGTAAGTCAGAGCTTAACAAAACGTTTTCCATGTAGTTGATATCTGTCTTACTTTAAGTTTCGAACTGCTAACTGAAAGAGCTGACCAACACTTGCAAGGCATAGTATTTGATGTTCCTGTGTAACGCAGCTTCCTGTCATGTCCAACATGATGCCTTAGAGGACCAGAATAGATGCTTTATTATTATTAGCTAAAATTTTGTTTTCAAACAGATTCTTTATAAAGTTTGAAATAAAATACAGCTTTAATAACAATTCTTTGATGGCTCGAGTCACCAGGACGATACACAGTTGCTTGTTTAGCTTTCACATGAATTGATTTATATCTTAAAAAGTGGGGTCATATTTGGAATGTGGCACGATGCAGTCAGTTTTTGTCACGGTGGTATTTATAGTCTGCTCCCTTTCGTCGACGTTTTCCCATTTCTGTGATACAGGTGCCATCGATATTAGCATGGGTACTGCAAAGGAAATAAACGCTATCACACCTGACCATCTTCTTTAGCAGTTTCAGTCGTGACCTCGGTTTCCCTTATAAGTATCTGAATATTTATATTTAAAGTATATTTGCATATTCTAGTCGTTATATGATGCCCTCATTAAATAGCTCCAGGCCCCTGAAGTTCTCCTAAGCAGCACCACATGGTGCTTCTTCACATGTTACTACCCTACAGGAAGTACTTTGACGTAACAGCGAAGATGGCCTCTCTTTGACATTTGCTTTATTTGTTTCCACCACTGGCATTGCCTATCCATGACACACTACAGGCGAACACTACTGAGGACACTTAGTCAATAGAAAGATTTAATGCTTTCAGTTTCACGAAACCCATTTTTATGCGTGGAGGAATAAATGCACACACATCCACACACGGAATTCATCCAATGCACACTTCCAAAAATCTGAAACTTGAGTGATTTTGTAAAATACATTATCAATAACCGATGACATATTTAGTTAATTCAGTTTAGGTCTGGAAACCGGCCGCATTATTGTTCTTGTTACGTTTACAGCCACGAGACAGACTTGTGGTTCTCCAACAACTGTGCAGTGCAGAGACATAAATTTAAGGGAAATGCCATTGCTTTGCTATCTCAGATGAATATCAGTATACAACTTTGTAATCACGCCTTCACTGAAGGTTCATATCTCATATAAAATATCTATGCTCAGTAGGTGGTTAAAATTATTACTTTTTCTAAGTTTGTATAAGAAGTGCAAGAGTAGATTAGTTGAAAGCAAAAGTGAATTAAACAGAGTAATCTTATTCTGACTTTACCGCAAAATCATTATATAAATGTGAAGTTGTCTCCTAACATCCTTAAAGACATTGGGCAGATTAGCTAATTCTAATGTGTCATGATTAAACATATGTTTTGCTTTTGAAGAAAGTGATGGCATCTTAAGTTTTTTAAATCTGATCCTTTCAAGGACCAGAGCATCTGCGTGGTAGCATCACACAGCCAGAAAATGCTTTGGAGTCAAATAATTAAATCCAGTGTGTTAGGGAATTATGTTTCCAATAAAATGTTTACCAACATCCAGGGGCCTTTTATCTCACTAAAGGACAGGCAATGATACTAGAAATTCCATATCACTACACAAAAATTATATTCCTCTGTATATTTTTGCAACCTACATTTATATGTTGTGATACAGTGCAGTTTCGCATCATTTATCCCTTGTTCTTATCCCTCAAATCAAAAAATGGTAAAACTAGCATCAGCAGCTAAAGTGCATTCTGCAATCAGCTACTGAGTAGTAATTCATGTTCTATGTCAATTATCAGGACTAAGACTGAAATGTTATAATTTGAAAATTAATAATATACTTTGGAGAAAATACTAACTTTATGGGGTACAGAACTAGATGTGGCCAAGTATATTTTAGGAAATGACAAAATTCTACTGATGTATTAATTAGACATGAAATTAAACATCTTTAACTTTAGTTCTAGTTGTAGAAATTTGGAATATTTTCCCAAATAAACAGAATTATGTGAAAATTTTCATACAGATTTCAGTAGAGGAAATTATCGTGATGTAGGAAACATGAAAAATAAGTTTAGTCAGTTTTCCCGAATGTATCTTCATCTCAACAAAATGTGCAGTGAGCCAGATACATTGCATCTTGATCTTAAAGTGATTAAAGGTTTAAATTATGCGCACTCTAGATCATGTCTTGTGTTGTCTGGATTTTCACACTAGTAGAAAATATTTCTTAAAGGCAGCCTGAAGAGGCAGGTCTAAGTTAAAACCATTCTTTAACTAGCATGCTGTTTCCACTGACCTCCTATAGAAAAATATCTGGTAGTACCTAGTCTATCATTTCAAAGTGCGTTTGTGTGGAAAACTTCCCAAAAGTCCACTCATGACATGAAGAAAAGGAGTAGCAGGTTTCCGTCTCCAGTCTGGCTCTCACATGTAAGATGTTGGTTATTTAACATGTTGGAAACTAAAATCCTGCAAAATTGTTGCATAAAATGGAATTCATGTATAGCATAAATCTTTAGGCAATAAGTTAATA